ACGAAAGAAAGAAAGAAAGAAAGAAAGAAACAAACAAACAAACAAACAAACAAAAACCCAGCTTGTGCCTCTTTGAGCATGCTAAGCACTCCTTTGTAGACCAAATGCATCTAACTGTTTTACAGGGTCCCTGTATATCATACATAAGTAAAGTGTGATAATGTAAAGCTGTCTTTCGAGTCTCTTTTTCAGTTCTCCTCCCCACTGTGGAAAGCTGAGACTTCCTTCTTTTCATCATCTTACTCCACGCCTACGAACTACGCCGTGAGAGCTTTATAACACCTTTTGACAAAATAAAGCTTTTACGTCTGTTCATTCATGTGAAGTCACATTCTGCTTCTCTTTTGAATATTGTCTGTCTTTAAACATCAAATTGTTTTATAAAATGAAAGGTTTTGTACAAAAGCATTACAGACCAAAGCTGTATTTTCAGGGTCCGGTTAAGCATCAGAAATGGAATGGGCACGGGAACAAGCTATACAGGCCAAGTAGTTGAATGTACTAACACTTCAAGACTCCATGCATATAAAGTGGCTGGACTGATACAAAAGGTGTAACGAGGGGACCGGGATGTGCTGAGGGGAGTGAGTGGTGCATGACATTTGCCCATTCACTCAACTGGCAGATTTTAAGCTAAGGAGGTTTGAAGTACCCCTGTCTGGTTATAATAAACAAGCTTAAAACAAAAATGAAGACTCTGTGCACAGGATCCCCTGCAAATGTTTCCTCTGGGAACCTCCAGGAACCATAGGTTGTGGTTAACTCCAGGCTTCTAAAGGTTTATACCCAGAACTTAAATTAGCTCTTCCATTTTCATCAGCGTAATCCCACAGAATGCTTTCCTCATTATAATTTATGTTGCACAATACAGTCTTGCCCAATCACATTTGAATGACTGACTGTAAGTCAGACATACCTCTAAAGCATTGGTTGGAAGAAAACAACAGACACTGAGCCTATGCGGTGACCTGCTGTAACACTAGCTATAATACAACATGGAATATTATCCAGAGAACCTTGGGATATTTTGAGCACTTTGAATCGAAAAGAGTGTTTGAAATGGTCTTAAAACCTGTGAGCTTTACTCCACTTTCAAAGCATCTAGTGTAAACACTAAATTATTGGCACTGATTGTGTACATAAATTATTAGATTGCTCTCTAGAATTCAATGAAACAGTCAGTGGCACTACTATGCTTCTAACTCATGGGGTTCTGTTCGTTTGGTTTGGTCTTGTGAGACAGGTTTCTCTGTGTAGCCTTTACTGTCCTGGAATGTCTTTTGTAGGGCAGGCTGGCCTGGAACTCAGAGATCCACCTGCCTCTGCCACCACCACCTGGTAATTGGGTTTGATGGGTGTGTTCCAGCACTGTTTCAATGTCTATGAACTCAAATAAGGTTCCATAAGTCTTTGAATAGATTTTTAACTCAAATGAGTGGAAATATATCTCTCCTAGGGGATACCTGTGTATCTTTCTCTGGAAAGTTTCTGCATGAATTCTCCATCACTTTTTGTGACTTCTCTCCTTTGTGTGAATTATATATGCTAAGTGTTAGCTAACTAGAGAACTGTCCACATTCCAGAATCAGGTGTTACCCACCCCGTTACCCTGCCTTCAATGACTCAGCAACAATGCCTTCCCATCACTGAGGGCCAATGTGACACATTTCCACTGTCCCCGCCTTACCTGAATTTTCCCTAGGTGCATGCTCCATATCCCAACACCCCCATAAGGCTTGCTCTCTGGTCTTCCACTGTCTCTACCCCGACTCAGAGTTAGCCATTTCTCAGTTGTGTGAGGTCTGTTGCATGGTGTGATCATTGTGGCATTCCTGGGACCCCCATCACCAAGGTACTCCTTGATCAGAGACCCTTTCACAAAGAGATGTAGATAAAGGGCAATGATCTCAATGATTCCTCTAGCTATCCAAAGATTTCCTCTTTCTCACCTGGACCTACTTAGGACTTATCTTCCTCCTCCTCCCTTGTGGACCTGTTGCCATGGAATCTTTCCAGTTAATCCTGGTGTGAACTTTGGAGGCAGCTCTCTGTCTAGAATTTCAGGCCTTTTCTCCAGACAGCCTATCACACTGTCCTCTTTGCAGTGAAAAGTGGAATTGGCAGCTAAATTTTTGGAGTTGGAGAGATTTTGCTCCTTTTTTTGGGCATCTCTTCATTGATACTTCCTGCTCTGAACTTTTTCTGGGTTATACCAAGAAGTACAAACCTGGCAACTGACTACAGTGCCAATATCTGGGAGAAACTTTCAGACCAATGGTGTAAAAGGGATCCACAGAACAGGCACAGCTAAAAAGGACCTGCAACACTCTTTTGTTCTGCTGCCTAACTCTTGAGGTTATAGCGAAACAAAGAGATTTGTACAGGAACAACTTGTGTTATGGAAGGGAGTTGGGAGCAAACTGCATGAGATTTCAACGAAAATGCAAGCTAGATAGGATAAAACTACACTGTAAATAATTTCCAAAAAGAATATATTTAAACTCTCAAACAATATCAATATTATTTTTTTTCCTTTTGAAAGAAAATGGACCAGTATATCAGAATATGTTATCATAGTAACAAAACATGAAACCATGATAATCTTATTAATTTAAGTAAAGGAGTTGTCTCTTCATCTGTGAAATTAGCAGGTGTTGTTTACTGGGCACTTCCTACTGACCTGGGGACTCTGAGATCCTTTGTTCCTTGATATTTACATTTCAAAGACTCAACAACAGGAAGAGTTAAGAAGGGTGGTAGATCTTTCTCTCTCTCTCTCTCTCTCTCTCTCTCTCTCTCTCTCTCTAGTGTGTGTGTGTGTGTGTGTGTGTGTGTTTCATGTGTAAATTGAATGTCTTGATCCCGCCTCAAAATCTGTGTGTTTGTGTGTGTGTGTGAGAGAGAGCAGTAAAGGGAGACGGAGACACACAGACACCACAGACACAGACACAGACACACATGGGAGAGAATAGAGGAGTGAGAGAGAGTGTGTGTGTGTGTGTGTTTGTGAGTCTGTGTGTCTGTGCATATGTAATGAGGGCAGGGGAAGGATCCCTGTATGTATGCTGACACAGAGGCTGCAACCTTATGGAACCAACCCACTGGAAGTGTCTCACACCGTATGGGAGTTTTTTCTAGCTAATTCCCCGAAGTCTTTGTAGGGTTAGTGGTGAAGTAGTCTGGAATTGAGAATGGTATCATTCCCGAGAGATGAAGGCTTGTGGTGCTTACCCAGACCTCTGTCAGGAGCTTTGGGTGGAAGGGATAGGGTTGGTAGGTGGGCCTCGAGGAACCCAAGGGGAGAGTGGACAAGATCTCTGAAGCAGGAGCCAAGGCCCCACAAGCAGCATTGCCTGTTAGCAGTTCCACTGTCCTGAGATTTTTCAAATGAATAACACTGGTAGCCATCCATATTTCCAGGGGTCGGTCATAAGTGGGTGACAGACTGCCCTGCAGGAGGAGGAAACTAACTCCCTCCCTCCTTTGCTCAGCTGAAAGGAAGGACACTAAATCTTGGCCACACTCAAGAGCACTAGCAGGAGGCAGTCCCATGCCATGCTTTTGTAAGGTTCAGCATCCCAGCTGTGCTGCCCCAACTCCAGCCCCACCCGGCATCCCTTACCTTAGGAAAAGCTCATGTTTTCCACATACTAATGAAATCAGTGACAGGTACATCAGTCCCCTGCCTCTCTAACTTCAAGGCACACCCAGCATGTTATGAAGTTTGAGACTCCTGGAATCCATGTTCTTCCATCTGAGGATATCTCAGAACTCCCGTTTACCCTCTCAGCAGTTTTCAAGTAAATTATGTCTAAAGCCCCCAGGCCCCATCCTCCATTCCCCACTCCTGCCCAGTGTTTTATTGCTATCCTTCTCCATGACACAGAGTTAGAGGGCCATCCTGACCCAGGGCAAAGGCTTTGGAGGGAAAGATGGAGGCAGATGGCCTGAAAAGCCTAACAAGTAACTAAAGAGTAGACAGTAGATGTCAAAATGAGTACGCAGACTTGGTGCAGCACTAATAATAAAGGCAGACCAAAGGGTTAAGGGAAGATGTCCCAAGAACAAAATGATGATCCTATCTCAGTTAGGGATGCAGGCTTGGAGATCCAGTAGAAACAGCAGCATTAGGACTCTTCAGATTTTATCTCCTTCCTTCCCAGCTGTGAGCTGTGTTAAGTTTGGGCTCTGGGCCTGCTTGTAAACTTATAACCTGGAGCTCAGTGGAAAAGGAGAGAAGGCTTAAAACGACCTGGAGATTAAATGATTTTAAATGATTAAAATGAAAGGAGAGTGGGTGGGGGTAAAAGTAGGGAGCTAACATAGGGAGGGTCCTCAGACTCTTTGCCTTTTGGCAGGTGGCCATGTCAGAGGAGAAGCAGGTTGCAACTGACTTCAGGACATCAGCCTCCCAGGAAGCAAATCTCTGAAGGGTGAATTTTGGTCAGGCCATCTCTTGCATCTGATGTACGTTTACGTTTGTTGCTACCTTTTTTTTCTCCTATCTAGCATGGCGTGAATGGGTGTGGAAAGATTCCCACTGCCTTAAATGTGGCATGATTATCTCATGGAAATACCCCATTTTACTGGGCATTTTTACCCATGGATTATCATAGAGATGATTTCCTCCTGAGCTGTACTGTTTAGCTGATGCAATGACTCTTATACAATAATAATGATAGTTTAAATAGGATTTTGATGATTGACAGTCCTTAGTAAATACAGCGAGGGACAGTGATGGGAGGTTCCCTAACTAGGAAAACTAAGAGAGGTAAAAGCAAGATGGGATGTCGTTCCCATTCTTGATAAAACAGGGGCTGAGAGGATACAAAATTAGAACAAAAAAATGACACACAGCTAGTATTCCTGAGAGACTCTAAATTATTATTGTTGTTGTTGTTGTTGTTGGAACCTGAGAGACTCTAAATTGTTATTATTGTTGTTGTTGTTGTTTCTGTTTATTATACTTATTATTATTTATAATATGAGACGCTAAAGCTATGAGTGACCCTGAGAGAATCCAACTTCACCAGAAACGTTAGTGACTATCAACTGTGGAAAAAACCCGAGTGACAAAGATTCAGTCGACAAGCACAGACTTTTCCAGAAATACGGAGCTTGGTTATTACTACAAATATCACAGCTTAGGGAGGACAGGTGATCCTAACAGTATAAAACAGACATTTCTCAGGCCGGGCGGTGGTGGCGCACGCCTTTATTCCCAGCACTAGGGAGGCAGAAGCAGGCGGATCTCTGTGAGTTCGAGACCAGCCTGGTCTACAAGAGCTAGTTCCAGGACAGGCTCCAAAACCACAGAGAAACCCTGTCTCGAAAAACCACAAAAAAAAAACAAAAACAAAAAAAAACAGACATTTCTCTGTAGTCCATTGGCGGGGCTCTGTTTTTCTCTGTATTTATATTTTTATAAATGTGATTTTTATATTTTTATATATATTTATATATTTTATATTTTTTATGCTTATATATTTTTTATTTTTATGTATATATCTCTTTATATTTTTATATATTATGTATAGTTATATTCTTTATATATTGTTTTATATATAAATATATTTATATTTTTATATATATTTTGTAAATGTGATAATATTTGAACTCTGCTGCCATATGTCCGAGAGTACCTCAAATCAAAATTTAGTCATCGGGACCACAAATACCAAGTTTCCGTTTCTCAGGGATTTGACATCTTGGTCTCTGGTTCTTTTTAGCCATGTCCTATGTATTAAATATCCTGGCGAGAGCTGCAGTTATCTTAGGGTTTATCTGCATCCGGGTAAGCTTTTAGGATTCCTCAGGACTCTGTGTCCTCCCTGCTGTGGTTTCCTGAATGTCTTTATAACACGGTAACTTAAGTCTCAAGACGGTTGTATGCGAGAGGAACCGTGAAGACTTTCTTTTTATTGAGAAATCAAACGTGTTTCACATGTTAAAACGTGTTTTTTTGTTTTTTGTTTTTTTCGAGACAAGGTTTCTCTGTAGCTTTGGAGCCTGTCGTGGAACTAGCTCTGTAGACCAGCCTGGTCTTGAACTCACAGAGATCCGCCTGCCTCTGCCTCCCGAGTGCTGGGATTAAAGGCGTGCGCCACCATCTCCCGGCTTAAAACGTGTTTTTAAAAATTGATTTAAAACGTGTTTTTAAAAATTGATTTAGCGGGTAATGAGTCTTGTCCTCAACCGCAAACGTCCGAGCACCTGGCCGCCATCGAAATCATGAAGCTGAAACACATTCTGATCCTGCAAAATAAAATCGATCTGGTGAAGGAAAGTCAGGCTAAGGAGCAGTACGAGCAGATCCTGGCGTTTGTACAAGGTGAGAGGCCTTGATATGTAATTGATATGTAAGCATGTTAGAGTCACCATAGTAGATGTGTCATCTCGTGTGTTTATTTAATAGATCATGCTCTTAAGGAACAGTTATTTAAGATGAAAATACCATGAAGATGGTCGTTTCTGTTTGTTAGCTGAGGTGTCTGGAGGTATTTAAGGAGCTTTTTTGATGTGTTTGTTGTATGTAGAACATAATTTTGAATTTTGCCCCTCAGGTACGGTAGCGGAAGGAGCTCCTATTATTCCAATTTCTGCTCAATTAAAATACAACATTGAAGTCGTGTGTGAGTATATAGTAAAGAAAATTCCGGTGCCTCTCAGAGACTTCACCTCAGAACCCCGACTTATCGGTGAGGAATTCACCTTTCCACCCCTAATCGTGATTATTTTTTCTTAATATGTTTATTTCATGTTTTTAGCGGTTTATTTCATGTTTTAATGGTTTATTTCATGTTTTTAAATGTTTATTTCGTGTTTTTAACGGATTTTTTCCTTAATATGTTTATTTAATGTTTTTTAATGGTTTATCACGTTTTTAATGGTTTATTACATTTTTTAACCGGTTTATTGCATGTTTGCTTGGCGTCCATGCTTCCCCCCCCCCCCCCAGTCATCCGGTCTTTTGATGTGAACAAACCTGGCTGTGAAGTTGATGACCTCAAAGGGGGTGTCGCTGGCGGTAGCATTTTAAAAGGAGTATTAAAGGTAAATCACGTTTTAACTTTTTAGTGTGACCCCCCCATCCACCCTAAAAATAAGTTAAAATCGATGGTTTTGTTCTCGTTTAACAGTAAATTTTATTGAATTGTTTGATGTGGTTTTGCTAAATATTTTTTAAAAAATATTTATGTATGCGTACTTGCACATATGTATGTATACCATATGTATGCTTGGTTAAAAATCTATGGTTTTGTTCTCGGTTAAAAGTAAATTTTATTGAATTGTTGTCTGGGTTTTTCTAAATATTTTATTATATTTACATGTTACCTGTGACTCACACGTGGAGTCTGTTATGGGTAATTACTTAAATTGAATGGTTTTAAAAAATATTTTTAGACTGTCCAAAATTGTCCTTGTAAGCAGGAGGGATAATATTTTAGTTTTAATCATGTTTTTCAGATATTTTTACAGGTTAAAGTCATATGTAGCCTCCAGATATCATTAATTCATTCATACATGTTCTAGGTGGGCCAGGAGGTAGAAGTGAGACCGGGAATCGTTTCCAAGGACACAAAAGGGAACCTCATGTGTAAACCGATCTTCTCCAAGATTGTGTCACTGTTCGCGGAACACAATGATCTTCAGTATGCAGCTCCGGGCGGTCTCATCGGTGCGGATTTTATTCTGATGGAGAAATGTGTTTCCCTTGATTTCGGTTCCTTTCCAGGGAAGACGTGTTATTCCAAGGATGGTCGTGTGTGTTTAACTGTATGACAATCTAATTTAGTAATGGACATATATGTATAATATAGATATATAGTATTATGTCTTATATTATTATCTTATATAGTATATACGTTATATATTATTATATCATTACATGTATATTATATATTATATATTACATGTATATTATATATTACATTGTGTTATAATTATGTTAGATATTATATACCATGTCATTATATTATATATTATATGTTATTATATATTATATATCTTATATTGTTATATTATGTATAATTATATATATTCAGTTAAACTTTGACTTTTACAGTATAAAATGCGTGTTTATGAACATATGAAGAAGACATTCCAGTTTTATGAATAGTGTGACTTTTAACCTGTTATGTGTACATGTATTTATATGATATGTTATGCGTACATGTATGTCTGTGTGGTATAAGCAAATTTTGTAGAAAATGGGTTTGAAATCCGCAGTGAGTCCCAGAGAAACAGTTGTAGAGGTCTCTGGATGTACTTACTTAGTTTTATTTACGTGACAAAAACCTAGCTCTTAGCATGTACGATTTTGCTACTCTGTTTAAAATTAACCCTTCGATTTCTTATTAATTTTAAAGAAATAAAATATAAAATAAAATAAAAATATATATGTTTACCCACATTTTTATCGGGAGTTGGAACAAAAATCGACCCGACCTTGTGCCGCGCAGACCGCATGGTGGGGCAGGTCCTCGGTGCTGTTGGTGCTCTACCTGAAATATTCACAGAATTAGAAATTTCCTACTTCCTGCTGAGACGGCTCCTGGGCGTGCGCACAGAGGGAGACAAAAAAGCCGCCAAGGTGAGTTCTTTAATACCGGCTTCACAGCTATGAAATATTGTGTGGTGTCACAGCCCCATTTATTTAAAATAGAATCACAAAAGGGATAAATAATAAACAAATATTTCCTATAGGTCACAGCAAAGAAAAGCGACGATGCCTTAAATTTAAAAAAAATTATTAGAAATAGGCCGGGCGGTGGTGGCACACGCCTATAATCCCAACACTTGGGAGGCAGAGGCAGGTGGATCTCTGTGAGTTCGAGACCAGCCTGGTCTAGAAGAGATGGTTCCAGGACAGGAACCAAAAAGCTACGGAGAAACCCTGTCTCGAAAAATCCAAAAAAAAAAAAAAATTAAAATATAAACATATAAACATAAAGAAAAGCGATGATGCTTTAAATTTTAAAAAACGGTGGTATTGTCATGTCCATGTATGTTGTATGTGCGGCCAGGATTAACTACATCTCTAGTTTATTTTAGAAAGTTTTAGTTCCTTTTCTCTTAACTATGTTCCCTCCCTCAGGTTCAGAAGCTGTCCAAGAATGAAGTGCTCATGGTGAACATAGGATCCTTGTCCACAGGAGGCAGAGTCAGCGCCGTCAAGGCTGACTTAGGGAAAATCGTTCTCACCAATCCCGTGTGCACAGAAGTGGGAGAAAAAATTGCTCTGAGCCGACGCGTGGAGAAACACTGGCGGTGAGTGTGTTGGTTTTGTCATGGCCGATCGAGAAAATACGGTGTGTATATATACACAGACATGTATATATACATGCACACATATATACACATATAAATATATACATATATGGTGTGCATATATGCATACATAAACATACATGTACACATGTGCATATAAATATATACATATGATTGCCTGTGTGCATATATAAACATATAAATATATACCTATATGGTGTGTGTATGCATATGTGGACATACATGTATGCATATGTGCACATATAAATATATACATGTATGGGGTGCATGTGTACATATATGTATAAATATGTACATATATACACATATATACATATACTAAGAGCATGTCTGAACTGAACATCAGGAATAGTCAACATGTTTATAAATTATCACACCTGTGAACCGGATTTAAAAATAAACGATTTCTTCTATTTTATTTTTTCAGCCTGATAGGCTGGGGCCAGATCCGAAGAGGAGTGACCATCAAGCCGACCACAGACGATGAATAAAATGACATGTTTGGATGAAACGAGAATATGTTGATGTTTCTTAACACGCTTAGAGATGTTTTCATGTTAAAAGTAGGAAATATATTTTCAAAGCTTATGTGAGTCAGAACTGTCGGGTTTTTCTAGTTTACATGAGAAGAAACCGGCGTCTGTCACGTCAGACTTCTTGATGTATTATTAATCTGCAGGTCAGCCGGCAATGTCATCCGTGTGGCCTGGAAATAAAATAAAAATAAAACCAAGTTGACCACGTTTGCTCTGCACCATTAAACTCCCAGCAAAGCTTTTCTTAGGATTCGTTTTATTTTATATGTCCAGGCATAAAGGACGGTGAACATGGATAAACACGTGAAGGCTCAGTTTAGTTTTGCCTCATTTTATACACTTTGTTTAAATACAAGATGGAAAAATTAACGGGCTCGAATAAATCCTTTCATACCTTCTTTTAATATGTGATCCGTGTAAAATGAGGGGACCGCTAAGGGATGGGCAGCTCAAAATTGTAGATCTAGTCAAAGGGATTCATCACTCTTTTTCTAGCCTGTGCATGCGTTAAATATGCATCTGGGACATTCATACATGCAGGCAAAACCTTAAATAAATCTAAACCAAAGTCCTCAGAAAACTCATCAGAATATTAAGTTTATAAACTTAGTATATAAATATGTAACATACATAAATATATAAATATATAAAATATATATTTGAATAGGAACATATTTATATAAGTTTTATTTGCTTGGGTTTTGTCAGTCAGTTCCCTCGGAGGCCAGAAGAGGGCATCAAATCACCTGGAGCTGGAGTTGACAGTTGTGAGTGACATTGTGTTTGCAGTTGTTGGGAGCTGAACACGGGTTCTTTCTAATGTCAGTCAATGCATGTAAACCGTAAGCTGTCATGAATTTATTTTATTTTAATACAGTGTTTAAAGGCAGGAGGCAGTGGGTCCCGGGACGACACCACAGGTCGTGCGGGACTCTGAGTAGCTTCAGGCTGGAATCAGTGGGTCCCGAATCAACACCACAGGTCCTACAGGTTCCGGAAAGGCCCTAAGGGGGCAGAGGGCTCCTCTTGGCTCTGCTCCGCTCCTCTCAGCTCGGCTCCCCTCGGGTCCTCTCGGCTCTTCTCTGTTCTGTTCGGCTCGGGTTCTCTCTGCTCCTCCGGGCTCCTCGAGCTCTTCTCCACTCCTCTCGGCTCCCCTCTGCTCGGCTCGGATCCGCTTGGCTCCACTCAGCTTGGCTCCTCTCCCCTCTGCTCCTCTCAGGCTCCTCTGGTCTCTGCTCGGATCCTCTTGGCTGCTCTGGTCTCTCTCAGCTCCTCTCGACTCCCCTCTACTCTGCTCGGCTCCGCTCGGGTCCACTCGGATCCTCTCTCCTCCGCGATGCTCTGCGGGGCTCCTCTCGACTCCGCTGGGCTCCTCTAGGCTCGGCTCGGCTTGGCTTGGCTCTGCTAGGTTCCTCTCCGCTCCTCTCCTCTCCGCTCGGGTCCTCTCGGCTCCGCTTGGCTCTCTTATTATAGCTAATTCCTTAAGCCCCCCCCCAAGCTCAAAGCAAAAAAAAAATACTATTTTTCAAATATAATTTTTTAAAAAATTAAAGCCTAGCAGATTTAATCTGTACACATTTTAATATTTGCTGTATAAGAAGAATGAAACCGTTAGATAAAATATTTCATTTTTCCAGATGTTTTGTTTCTCACTCAAAATTGATAAACTTGCAGCAGACCGTCAATTTGGTGTTCTGTGTGCCTGCTTCTTCTATTTGCTTCTTCTATTTGTCTCAGTTTGGAGAAGTTTTCACCTGTAAAAATTTGTCCTGTGCTGTGATACTCACCCATTTGTTTCTTTTAATCTAAGGTTTATTGTTTCACACTGTTCTATATGTCCTGAGTGTTCTTGTGTTTTAATTTTTCTTTACGTGTTATTCGCTTATCTCTTTTCTCAAAAACCTTTGATTTTTTTTATTTTTATATTTGATTTTCAATGCAGCTTCGCTAAGGAAGCCGTAGGACACTCTGGTGTTACACGGGGTCCAGGCAGTGTAGACGGATCAGATTGGAACATGGACAATGCACAACTTGAATTATAAACACGGGGAGGGGTTGACAACCAGGCCGACTCTGATAGAGGAGATCATGGACGCTCTGTCTCTGAAAGAAAAGAGGCGACCGTGCAATACGTTTATCCGCACACGTCACTTAGAGAACTCAGATCACCGTTCGGGTCCGCTCGGCTCCTCTCGGGTCCTCTTTATCCGCTCGGCTCAGTTCTGCTCCTCTTGGCTCTTCTTGGCTACGCTAGTCTCTGCTCGGGTCCGCTCGGGTCCGCTCGGCTGCGCTCGGCTGCGCTCGGCTCCGCTCGGCTGCGCTCGGCTCCGCTCGGGTCCGCTCGGCTGCGCTTGGCTTCACTCGGCTCCGCTCGGCTCCGCTCGGCTCTGCTCGGCTCCGCTCGGCTGCGCTCGGCTCTGCTCGGCTCCGCTCGGCTTCGCTCGGCTCCGCTAGGCTCCGCTAGGCTCCGCTAGGCTCCGCTCGGCTCCGCTAGGCTCCCCCCCGGCTCAGGCTCCGCTACGCTCCCCTCTGCTCTGCTCCGCCCGGCTCCTCTAGGTTCCTCTCCTCTAGGCTCCTCCCTTCTCGGCTCGGCTCCGCTGGTTTTTTCTCGGCTCCGCTCGGCACCTCAAAGCAAAAATTACTATTTTTCAAAAATAATTTGTACAAAAAATTTAAAGCCTTGCAGAATTGATCTGTACAAATTTTAATATTTGCTACATAAGAAGAATGAAACCGTAAGATAAATTATTTCATTTTTCCAGATGTTTTGTGTTTTCCACTCAAAATTGATAAACTTGCAGCAGACCGTCAGTTTGGTGTTCTGTGTGCCTGCTTCTTCTATTTGTCTCAGTTTGGAGAAGTTTTCACCTGTAAAAATTTATCCTGTGCTGTGGTTCTCACCCGTTTGTTTCTTTTAATCTAAGGTTTATTGTTTCACAGTGTTCTACAGTCCTGCGTGTTCCACAGGTCCTGCAGGTCCCTGAGCAGAGGCTGGCAGGGGACAGTGGGTCTCGAGACGACAGCACAGGTTGTGAGGTTCAATGAGTTGGCGGCAGGAGGTCTCGAGACAACAGCACAGGTCCTACAGGTCCCTCAGCGGCTGCAGGCAGAGGGCAGTGGGTCCCTAGATGACACCACAGGTCCTGAATGTCCCTGTGTAGCACCAGGCAGTGGGTTCTGAGACTAAAGCACAGGCACTGCGAGTGCCTGAACAGCTGCAGGCATGGGGTCCAGAGACGACATTGCATGTACTGCAGGTCCCTGAACAGCAGCAGGCAGGGTGCAGTAGTGTGTCCTGAGAAGACAGCACAGATCCTGCGGGTACCTCAGCTTCAGCAGGCAGCGGAAGTGAGTCCCTAGACAATACCACAGGTCCTGCGGGTAACTTAGCAGTGGCAGGCAAGTGGAAGTGTGTCCCAAGACAACACCAAAGGTTCTGTGGGTCCCTGAGCAGCCTGCCGGGGCAGTGGGAACCGAGACGACAGCATATTTCCTGTGGGTCCCCGAGCAGTGGCAGTCAGGGACTAGTTGGTCCAGAGATGATAGATCCTGCTGGTTCCTGTGCAGTGGCAGAAAGTGGGCAGTGGGTCCCAGACAACACCACAGATCCTGTGGGTCCCTGAGAATCCTGCAGGGGACAGTCAGTCCCGAGACAACACCACAGGTCCTCCAAGAACTGTGGGTCCCTGAACAGCAGCAGGCAGAGGCCAGAGGATTCGGAGACTACATGACAAGTCCTGCGGGTCCCTGAATACCAGCAGGCAGGGGACAGGGGGTTCAAGACTCAGGGACCCGCAGTACTTGGAGGACCTGTGGCATCGTCTGGGGACACACTGCCCTCTGCAGGCTGCTCAGAGTCCTGCAGGACCTGTGGTGTCCTCTCAGGACCCACTGCCTCCTCCCTGCTGCTGCTCATGGAAGTGCAAAACCTGTGGTGTCATCTAAATACCACCTGCCCCCTTCCTGCCGCTGCTCAGGAAGCTGCAGGACCTGTGGAGTAGAACAGAACCCACTAGCACCTGCCTATTGCTGCTCAGGATCCTGCAGGACCTGTGGTGTCATCTAGGGAACCACTGCCTGCAGCCTGCCCCTGCTCAGAGACCTGTATTACATGCGATGTCATCCCGGGAAACCCTGCCAGCTTCTGCTTAGGGACCCGCAGTACCTTTGCTGTTGTCTCAGGACCCACTGCCACCTGCAGGCTTCTCAGGAACCCACAGGACCTGTGATGTCGTCTCGAGACCCACTGCCCCCTGCCTGGTGCTGCTCAAGGACCTACAGGACCTGTGGTGTCACCTCAGTATCCCCTGCCCCTTTCCTGCTGCTGATCAGGGATCCATAGGTCCTGTGGTGTTGTCTCAGGACAATTCCTTATGCCTGTCACTGCTCAGTGACCCGCAGGACCTGTGGTGTCACAGACTGCAGTGAGCAGAAGGCCCCAAGACTACAATACAGGGTCTGCGGGTCTGGGAGCAGTGGCAGGCAAAGGGCAGTGTGTCCAGAGGCAGCACCACAAGTTCTGCTTGTCCCTGAGCAGCAGTAGGCAGGGGGCAGTGTGTCCAGAGGCAACACCACAGGTCCTCTGTGTCTCTGAGCAGACTGCAGAGGTCAGTGGCTCCTGAGATGACAGCACAGGTCCTGCGGGTCCCTGAGCAGTGAAAGGCAGTGGGCAGTGGTTCCAGAGACAACACCACAGGTCCTGCAGGTCGCTGAGTAGCCTGCAAGGGGCAGTGTGTCCAAAGAGAACAGCACAGTTACTGCGGGTTTCTGAGCAGGAGCTGGCAGACAGTCTGGGGACGACATCACAGGTCCTGTGATTTATTGTGCAGCCGCAGGCTGGGGGCAGTGGTCCTGAGACAACTTCACAGGTCATGCTGGTTCCTGAGTATTGGCGGGCAGTGGGTCCCAAGAAAACACCACAGGTCCTGCAGGTCCCTGAGCAGAGGCAGGCTGGG